TTTCCTCCCCAATAGTTTCCTTAAAGGGCGATAGAGGCATTTTTTGTTGATGTACTCCCTCGGAGTTTTCGGGCGGTGCTGCCCCTCGAGCCACCGCCAGAGTCACTCACGCCGACCTCTGGTGACTGCGATGGATGCGTTTTAAATCTACCGAGTGGACTGTGGTCTTTCTGCATGACAAAATACCCGGTTCAATGGTTGGCGTAGCGTCGTGCACGGACGAAAATGCGCCTACTCAGTGGAGGTGTGCCTCGGGCGCTTTTTTTTTGTAATTGCTTGTGTTGGTAATTCAGTTCGTGAAGAGTACTCGATGGTCTTTTGTGATAAATGCCATGATCGCAGCAAGACGATGATGATAATGATAGGGGTGTGTGTGTGTGTGGTGAGAGACTGACCTTTGAAGGTGACTGAGTGACTACTACCGGGAAGGACGTGGTAGGAGCAATAGGAAATAAAGACTCGCATTTATGCGCACGCAAAATGGCTCTTTTGTCCCTTCTTCCCTTCCCTTGTCCATGAGGGGTCACAATGCCCGTGGCGCAATCAGCGTGCATCGCAGGTGGGGTGCACAACGAAGAGTCACCTCGGGATAGTTCTCCTGAGGACATTATGGCGTGTTTCGTCGCGACAACAGAGGAAGAACGGCTTCGCTGGGAAAGAGAGCGCTTACTTCCTCTTTACAACAACGACGTTCTCATTGGCAGCCTTGCGCCCTACAAGTTGAAACTGGCTTTTCTGGAGGCGACGGTGGAGCACTTGCACCGCCGCTGTCGTGAGGTTCTCTCGTTGCGTGTGCCTTCTCCTCATAGAAGAACGGAGGGGGAGGAGGAGGAGGCGCGGCGCGTTGCTTGGCTGCATGCTGAGGCCGCCCTGGAGCGGCTCGCGGAGGTTGCTGTTCCCCGCTGGGTCGAGGAGGATCTGCACACAGAGGTGACTGCGCTCTGTGGCGAGGTGGCGGGGGCTACGGGCGGCGCCGCGCTGCGTGGCGTTGTGGAAGAAGTCGTGGCGGAGTGTTGCCGTGGTGGATGATGCCGATCTTTCATGTTAGAGCGATGCTTCTTCCTTCTGCTTTGCAAAGGTGCCGTCAAAAGGGTCTCAGGCCTCCATCTTCCCCCAAAATCAACAACAACGAAAATTCTTTTTTTCGTTCTTTTTTTTCTTTAAAATAAAAAAAATTTCGGACAGTTTCTTGTTTTCTTTTCCGTTTTAGCCACTCGACGATGAAACAGCGGAGAGTTATTCAGGTCCTCATCGTGTGGTTGTTGTTGTTGTGCTGCTCCGTCCAAGGTGGAAACGCCGCGCAGCAGCCGGCGATGGCGCTCTTCGACGGGCAACACGGCCGTATCATGTCTCTCACGGAGTGGCGTGACATTGACTTTGGGGGACGTAGCACGATTAGCGGCCGGAAACAGCCTGCGAGCGTGTTTGCTATCCAGGCAGCACTTACCGTCACAGGCGGCGTGAACAGTCCTACGGTGGATACGAAAGGGTCGGATGATCTCTTGCTGATCCCGTATTGCTCTCCGACGGCTGATTCCGCGACAGCAGGCGCGACGGATGCCTGTTCGTTGCGCCACTATGAAGGATATGTGTTGCTTCGCTTCCGTGGTGGCTGGGAAGGGGACTTTGCTGCGTCGCTGTGGCGGGATTCTACTTTGGGCACCAACATGAGGGTCGCGGTGCACCTTTTTCGCGCCCTCGCCAATGAAAGTGGCATCAACTTCCCGTTTCAAATGGATGGCTCAGCCACTGCGGGGACGCATTCTGTGGGCGTTGTGCGCCGGCACGAACTCGTCGAAAACTGCGGTGATTTCACGGACGAATGCTTTCAGGGACGTTATATGACGTACACCAGAAGCTTCAAGGAGATGCCTTTGGATACTTTCACAGGAAGAATCATGTTTCACATCGGGGCAGAGGGGGCATGGAATGGGCCGTGGACACTACGGCTGCAGAACTCGATGCCACACGACTCCTCCACCGATGTCGATATTGTGGTTGTCCTACTGGACAATAGGGAATCTTTCAGGTGGAAGACGTGGCTGCTGTCCTCGGTAATGGGAAATATTGTCCTGATGGCGTGCTGCATCCTGTGGGTGGTGTGCTTCATAGTGGGGACAAAGGAGTTGGGTATGCGGTTGACGGAGTCCATGCCGCTGAATGAGCGGCGCCCAACAGTACTGTACACGGACGATGATTCTGACAATGAGCGGTGCATGATGCTCCATCGCATCATGCTGGCGGTGCTCGAGAGCTGTGTGAGGCTCGCTGCGTCTCTTGCAGCTGCGCATCGTGCGAGTTGGAGGTGTCTCCGTTGTCCACTGCGGCGCCGCTGGGCGGCGAGCCGTGCGCACACCAGCACGACGGACGAGACGCAGGATATCGGTGCCGTCAAGAGTAACGCGCGCGAAGTGGAGATGCAAAACCTAGTCGCTGACGACAATGAAGGTGGCGGTGACGAGGATGACGACACAGAGGTGTTCTGCCGTATCTGCCGCTGTGAGAAGCCTGTAGAGGAGTTGTTCGCGCCATGCTCCTGCGATGGCTCTGCCAAGTACGTCCATCGTAGCTGCCTGGCGAAGTGGCGGGCTATGACCACTAATGAGGAGCACCGACGTGCGTGCGCGGAGTGCAAGACGCCGTATGTTCTGGTGCTGGAGAGGGTTCCTGTGTCACCTGATGAATTTCTGCGCAGCCCAATATGCGTGCCGGCGTGTCGCACCTTTGCTACTCGCGCAGCGGTGATATTGTTTTTTGCATTTCAGCTGTGGTTTGGCGGGTATTACCTGAAACTGTGCATGTGGCTCGCCACTGGTCTTGACGATGGTGTCATCTGGTCTGCCGCGCATTTGTACCACTGGGTCCTGGGGTTCTACTACCTCGTGGCTCTCTCTCTCAACATATATGCCCTTGAGTACGTCCTTCGTGATTTCTCCGAGTCATGGCAGCAGTTGTTGATTCTCTTGATATCTCTAGGCGCTGTGGAGGTCCCGCTTAGCTACGTGGGGCAGATATTACTCTCCTGGCTGCTCAGCAGGACATGGTCATTGGAGGTGTCCTACGGCCTAGGCATCATTACCACAGCCGTCTTATACGTTGAGATGCTTCCCCACCTGTACGAACACCTGCAGTCGCTTTCGACGGTGCGTGAAGTTGTCGCCCCACGCGCGGAACAGACGCGAAATAGGGAAGTATGATGAATTATTGCTTATATCTATATACATCTATATCTATATCTATATATATATCTCTGTGTGTGTGTATGTGTGTGCCTGCTGAACGTATTCTCTTCAATTTCACTGGAACAGCCTCGTGCGTGGTTGTGTATCTGTGGTACCTGAGTGTCTCGCTGCTTACACTACTCTCAAACATTTTCGTTGTTGTGCTTTGTACCTTTTCGCCTCTAGTCACGTTTGTGGTGGGTGTTCTGTGAAGAATCACACATCAGACATGCTCCGCCGTAGCGCACTCTCACTCTACTCGGGTGTAACAGCACCAATGGGGAAAGGACGTGTTGTGCCCCTCAAATTCGACAGCCTCAAGCCTGCCTATGTGCCAAAGAGCTTCACGACACAGCTCTTTGTCCTTGGAATGTGGACAATCAGCAACATGATTCCAAATTTTATTTTTGGATTTCTACTCATTGCTGGGGCCCATGGAGGGCTGACGGGTGCGTGGCCTCCCGATCCGCACTCCCTCCATCCGTAGAGGGTGCTCCAAAAGGGTGCGTAGCAGCTAATAGTGATGTGTGGTAGCAGGAGTGGGAGTAGTAGCAGTAGTAGTACTAATACGCCATGGGGGAATGCGGTGGTGGCGAATGCAGGAATGAAAACAAAGGATGGACCCACATGCATTTTGCAATGATGGTGCGGCAACTTGGAGCATGTTATAAGGGAAAGGATGATACCTGAAAAAAACAAAAAACAAAGGGAATGCACCCAGGGCACCCATACGCTTGATGCTTTCCTTCGTGTCTCCCTTCCGCCCTTTCTCCTCTTTCTTTATTCCTCATTCTTCTCTTTCTTTCACTTTCGTACTTCCATTCGACAGTGTGGTACAATAGCCTCTTAGAAAGGTCTCTCGGGACCCTGAGACAGCGTCCAGGCAGCAGCGCGCCCCACACACCCCTCCCACAATAATAAACAAAAAGAGATGGAGAACTATGAAGTTCTCAACAAGCTGGGGGATGGGACATTCGGATGTGTCGTGAAGGCATTGCATAAGAAGACGGGGCAACTTGTCGCAATAAAGAAGATGAAGCAGAAGTACTACACTTGGGACGAGTGCATGAAGCTCCCTGAAGTGGTCGTGGTGCGCCGCATCCATGGACATCCGAACATCGTCAAGATGCGGGAGGTGATTCGCGAAAACAATGAGCTGTTTTTTGTACTCGAATATATGGACGGGGATCTTCTGGGCGTGATACGAAAGGCAAAACAGATGCAGAACGCCGCCCTGGCTGCCACGAGTCCACCTCTCGGGTATCCAAAGATAAAAAGCTATATATTTCAAATTCTTCAATCACTGGCTTACCTCCACCGCCGTGGGTACTTCCACCGGGATATAAAGCCAGAGAATTTGCTTATAAGGAAGGACCCTACTTCCGCGCTACAGGAGGTGGTAAAGCTCGCTGATTTTGGTCTGGCGAAGGAGATCCGGGCACGCCCCCCATTTACGGACTACGTCTCCACGCGTTGGTACCGTTCCCCTGAGTTGTTGTTACAAGACCGGGCTTACAGCACCCCCGTTGATATTTGGGCTGCTGGCTGTATATTAGCAGAGTTGATTACCACTCGTCCACTGTTTGCGGGCAGCAATGAGGTAGATCAGCTACACAAAATAATGAGTGTTCTAGGCTCACCGAACGAGCAGATCTGGCCCGAGGGCGTGATCCTCGCCAAAAAGATTCGGTATTCATTCCCTGCGATCAAGGGAATAAGGCTGGAGCGTGTCCTCCCAACACACATACCTCCGCAAGCGCTTGACTTGATGAAGCAGATGCTCACCTACGACCCAAAGAAACGCCCCACGGCCCAGCAGTGCCTTCAGCACCCTTACTTCAACGTTGGTGTCGACGAAGGCAATTATGCACCCCCAAATATGGCACAGCAACTAGCGAACGCAGTTAAAAGGTATGCTCCTAGTCCTCAGAGTGCACCACCTGGCAACGTGCTTTTGTCTGGTGCCCCCAACACCAACCGCTCACCAGTGGGTGTCACAACAGCTCTTTCAAAGCCAACGGGTGCGGGAAGCGGCCCGCCAGTGTCACCACAGCAAACCTTCGGCGCCCCTGTTGTTAAAAAGACAAGCACCCTGGCTGAAGACAAAGCCCAGCTTCCGCCAATAAAGAAGCTTTCACCAACGTTTGGATCGGAGTCTTTTGCGAAGGCAAATAGCGTCCCGGTGAAGCCTCCCCTTCCTGCCATGGACAATGTAGCAAACAAGGCGTCAAACGGTAAAAATGACGATGATGTTGACTTGGATGGTCTCATGAACGAGTTTGCCGGTGAACTCCAATCGTTGGGTCTCCTACCACAGCAAAAACAGAAAACCTCACTTTCTGTTGCTGGCGATACGTTGAAGGGCAATGGATCCATTCAAGATGCAAAGTATGGGAATCCAACAAAGGCGCTGGATACAGCGAATGATTCATTGACGGATAAGGATCTTGTTGCGTCACTTCTTAGTTCTACGCGGTACAAGAAATCTTCCTTCCAGGGCAGGGAAGGTGGTGGAGCTGGAGCTGGTGGTGTTGGTGGTGTTGTTGGTGTTGGAATTGTTGGTGGCGGCGGTGGTGGTGGGTTGCATCCACCGGGGAAAGCCCCTCCGCAGGTTCGGGAACCTTCTTCGATCCAGGCTCCGACGGTGGGTGGCGGGCACCATGCGGTGTCGCCGTCCATCAAGGCATTACTTGCAAAGCATAGAGAAGGGGGGCTCTTTTCCATGAAGTAGCTCGCACTTTGCACGGACTTAGTGGGGGCAGCGGAATGCTCATTGTACGCATCGTTGGAATATTTTGACCCACGCCGAATACCTCGTTAGGACGCGGCGGGTGCGCAAGACAAATGACAAAATATCCTTGGATAGCTTCATATGTTCTTTACTCGTTGTGCACAGAAAACCCCAAAACGAAACAAAAAAAAATAGGGTGAACGTTTAGCATGTTTGCCACGCTTGACGCCACAACACTTCTAATTCCTTTTACTTTGTTGTTTAATTGCCGGTTTCTTTTTTAAAAATCTGTAACTCCCTGGCGTAGAGGAAAACTCGTTACAAAAAACACATTTCTGATAGATAGTGAACAATCAATACAACAACTGAAGTTTGACCGTAGACTTCCTGTGCCAAGATCCACGCAGTTTTCATTACACCAACAAAACTGAAGAATGCCCGACGCCGCTGCAATAATTAATACCATAAAACCATTATTGATGCGCGCTGTGGCCTATGGCACTGCTCTGGTGGCCAATTCGTCGTGTGGGACCCTGATATTAACGGGGGTTTTGGTCGTGGTATGGTTCATCGTTATGTACTGGCTTTTCTTTGTCGTTGTACCAGGCCTTATCATGGACCAGCACCTTCGCCATCTCCCGCAGGCCCCAGGGCATATCCCGCTCCTAGGGCAAGCCCTCTGCCTTTTGGAGGGCTCGCCAAGCTCAAAAATGGCGATGTGGAGTCTCTACCCACATCATTGTGATGACGATGGCAAGAAAACTGAGAAGCAATCCACCAATCGTATTGTTACCTTCAATGTTTTTTGCCAACGTGTCGTGTACATCAATGAGCCAGCCTTACTGAAGCGTGTCCTGCTGACAAACCAGCGGAACTACATAAAAGATATTGCCTCTTCGTACAAGCACTTTATGTGCCTCCTCGGGAATGGGCTTGTGACGGCGGAGGGGGAAAAGTGGAGAAAGGGCCGTCTGCTGCTTTCGCATGCTCTGCGTATTGACATTCTAGAAGAAATTCCCGAATTGGCGATGAGAGCAGTAACGAGGGTTATGGACAGGCTTGCTGCCGTCAATGACACCTGCCCTTTTCTGGATATGAATGAGGAGTTCCGCCACATGACTTTGCAGGTGATTGGAGAAACTGCGCTTTCCTTCACCGCCGAGGAAACGGACCGCATCTTCCCCGCCTTGTATCTCCCTATTGTTCATGAGTGTAACCGACGGGTCTGGGAGCCATGGCGCACGCTGATGCCCTTCACGAAAGGATTTCAAAAACGCCGCCAGTGTTTGAAACAGCTGAACGAGGTCCTGCACGACATCATTCAGAAAAGATGGGAAAACCGTCACTCGGCTCACAAGCGCGATATTATGGCTTTGTGCATGTCCCAAATTGATAAAATGGATAATGCCATGATAAAGCAGCTCCGAGATGACGTGAAAACAATTCTGTTGGCCGGCCATGAAACTTCAGCGGCGCTACTGACGTGGGCAACATACGAGGTTATCTGCCATCCCGATGTGCGAGATAAGCTTATAGAGGAGGCAAAAGTATTGTTTGATCCGGCGCGCTGCGAGAACAAGGTTGTGACAAGCCAAGGTGTCACCTGGGGTATCCCCACCGCTAACGACGTACGGAAATTGCTTCGGTGGTCTCCGGCTATTCTTCGTGAAACATTGCGCAAGCATTCTGTGGTTCCCCTTGTTATGCGCTATGTTGTAAAGAACGATCGGTGGCCTGCTTCTGAAACCGGTCTTGACAAAGACATTGTTATTCCTGCAGGGTGCAGTGTGGCAGTGGGGATTCAGGCTGTGCACCACCGCCCAGACATTTGGCCGGACCCTGAGGAGTTTAAACCAGAGCGTTTCCTAGATGTGGAGCTCGCAAACAACACCAACGCCCTGAATAATGAAAAGTACAACAATTCCATTGATCCATATGCGTTCATTCCTTTCATCAATGGCCCGCGCAACTGCCTTGGACAACACCTTTCAATCATGGAGACACAAGTGGCGCTGGCGTACTTATTCCTGAACTGGGATCTGAGCTTATATGGTATCGACGCAAAGGCAAGTGACGCAGCAAAGCGTGCATTCCAGGAGGAGGCTGGCCGCCCGCACAAATACTTGATCCCCATTGTGCCTCGTGCTGGGTTGAAGGTGGTGGGGGAGCCACGTCTGAGAATATGAAAAGGATAAAAGTCAAGGCGGAGGGGTCAAGGGCCTTTTTTTGGGTGGTGGTGGTGGTGGTGGGGTTATGGCTTAAATACGAAGGGTGAGCCGCACTGGATGGCAGAGGACGAAAATGAAGTAAGCGAATGTGAAAAAAGGCCTGTGACCATACCGCTGACCCTCAATCCGCAATTCCCTTTTTCTTTGACGTTTTTTTTTTTTTCAAGGTCAACGGAAAGGATTCAAGCGAGCTCATTCTGATGAGCTTCGGCCCTTGTTCATTTGGACAAGGGCGCAGCGAAGTGGCCGGCCTCTCCGGCCCCGCGGCGGAGTCAGTGCCCGCCGATACTGACGTCTTGGGGCAGAGGGTACGTGACACACAGGACCTTCAGAGCTCCCTTGCCCACCTCAAGGAGAATAGTCGAAACTCGCACGGGCTGCGGCAACGCCCGGTATCGCCAGTGCAGCCTGTGGCTGCTGATGTATATGGTGCCCGGCTACGAGCGACGCCTAAGGTGGAGCCTCACGAAGAAAATTTCCCCTCGCTAACGCTAGAGGTGCCCGGTGGTCAAGAGGTGAATGAGGCATCCGAGAGTTGCACCTATTCTGCCGCCACTGCATCAGAGCCTGGCGCTGGTGATTTGCGTCGTGGTGAGAGCGCTTGCCAACACTTGACAGAGAATGTGGAGGGCGAAGAAGAGCAGTCGCCTATTTCCAAAGGTGGGCCTAATGATGCTCAGATGGCGCGTTCTTCTAGTTACTCCTTCTCAACATACTTGCTGAGTACATCATTGAAGCGATTGGAGGAGGAGTTGCACGCTCGGACACGACGGCCTGAAGAGATCGGCTCGTGCTTCCCAGCGGTCGATCATGTGCCCGACAGCCCACTGGGCTCCTTCTTGTTGTGCACGCAGTTTGCTAAGGAATTGGGCGCGTATACAGAAAAAATGACAATGTACCAGAATATGCTCACAAGTGCCATGGACACCGACACAGGTGTCATTTTCGATACCACAGAAAAAGAGACGATTAACGGTCTTTTGAGGGATATACAAACCATCGTGGAGAAACTCTACGTGACATCAAAGGACACCCAAAAGAAGCTCGATGCGTACAATATAACCGCAAAAATGATCGTGAAAAAGACAAGCGAGTGTGAGAAGCGAATTAACCACCTCACGGAGGTGAAGGAGGCTGCGGCTTGTTCAAGACGAGAAGCTCTGCTTCAGACGTTAATAGAACTTGGTGTGGAACGAGAAATGACCAAGTCTATTCTCCTAAAATCAGGCTGCCGGGAGGAGGGGGTCACCAACGCACCGCGACCTATTTGCTCCGTGGGGATTGAGAGTGCAGATGAAGATGCCCCTGGCGGCTGCCTTGACTGCGATTTCACTGTAGGCAATAATGTATCACCACCACCACCACCACCACCGGCGGCGGGAGCGGAGGAAAATAAACAGGCGGGCTCTGCGCTTGGTGCACCGTTGGTATGGACGCCTGAAGGCGATGATGCTTCGAGGAGGAACTGGATTTGTGACCATGCCCTCGGGTACTTCTCCGACTGCAAAGACCCTCCAGCACCAGAGTGCCTCTGCACCATGATTGCACGTATGCAGCCGCACGAGATGGGGAATGACGTGCTGCGGTCCCGGCGGCAGATGTCTGTTGTTGTGCGTCTTATTGACCGCTGTCCAGCTTCCCGGGAGTTCCGAAATGTTTTTCTGGAGAAGCGAATGGAGGCGATGAAGAAAATTCAGATTGAATTGGAGAGAGAGTGCTTCTCTTTAAAAGAGCGTCTTTTTGCAGAGCACTGCTGTTGATCGGCTCCATCATTGCTATTTGTTATTATCGTTCTTTCTCTGTGCCGAGGTGCGTGCATCTTGCTTGGTATTCTCCGCATCCGCTCCGTCATCGACTGCTTTGAGCCCTCGATAATACCCCTTTGAGGGGCTTCCAGGTGCGTGCCCTTCTTATTCGACGCATCACGTGTATTTTCTTTTTTCATCCCTTTTTATCGTTGCTGCTGGTTTGTTTGTTTCTTCCTCTTGCTTCGTTTCCAGGGTTCCTCTTTTTTATGCCGTTTTGGTTTTGGCCCCGATGCGGGAACCGCTTGTGACGTGCCGCAGTGTGGAGCGGGTCCTGAACGCCCTGCAGCGGAAGCACCACTGGCTTGCGGATGATGCCCGGGCCTTCTTCATTGCAGGACGGTGGGAGCGCGACGTGCGGGCGTGGATTAACACGCACCAGCGGGGGGACGGCTGCGCGGGGCGGCGTCAGACGCGCCCGAATGCCCGAGCAAAGTTGCCGGGGAATTGGATGGTTTTGGACGATGATCTCGCTTCCAAAAAGGAGTTCTTAAAAGCGGCTGTCGGCAATCAACAACACGACGGCCCTCCAAGTGCATCATTCTGCGTATTTGCCGATGAAAAGGACCGCCGTGAGGCCACGCAGGCGAGATATGTTGGGGACAACGTGACAATGCTCCCCTTCACCACAGTGGAGGCGGCATTGTACATCAGGAGTCGGGGAAGACGGTCGAATGACGCCAAAACGTGCACTTTGTTGCCCCACTCCGTCTCGGCAGAGAATGTGCTACTTGATGACACTGCGAGATCGAGCACCTCACTGAATGATTGCTGTGCCATTTTCCTCAATCGTCACTCTGCAGATCTCGTCGCCGTGGACTTTGCGGAGGGCGAGACGTCAGATGCATCACTGGAGCGCCCGACCACAGCTGTCGATGCAAGACAGGGCGCCCTTAACGCAGTGACTTTGGGCGTACATTTACTCAAACCCTCGGGTGCGGTGCTGCTGCGGTTCTCTTCGCACGCAAACCCGGGCGGAAACGTACCCCTCCGTGCACTTTTGCGGCACATGCGCTGGAGTTTTCAGGTCTCCGCGTGTGAAGTTGACAGTGAACATGTTTACTGTGTGGGATGCAGGAGCATTACGGAGCACCCCATAGCGGAGCTGCCACGAGATTGTTTTCCAGGATTTTTCCCGAGGTCTAAGCCCCGTCCCAAGAGATGGAACCCGCGCAGTGAAACGAAACAACCATTCTTTGCTGCTCTTATGCCAAGTTTCACAAACGCACCGCTGGTGAAGGAGCCGCTAAGCCGTGCACTCGCTGAAGAGATGGAGGCTGCTAAGAAAAGTGAGGAAAAAGCAGACAGTTTGTTTGGCGTGTCGGTTGAAATGGTGGAAAAGGGGTTACATCACTATAAACAGGATGACTAGTGTGGCCATGGCCGTGTGCTATTCTGTGCTGTTTCAGGATGGGCTAAGGAATCTGGCGTCTGTACCTTGTTCTGTTTTCCCCCCTTTCCTTTCTTGTACGCTGCCCCTCGATGGAGGGTGTCACTCTCTGTTTTCGTTCTCTCCTGTTTCAATTTGCATCTGATATATAGGGGAAACAAGAGAGGGGATGCAAGGCCGACCATATGAAGCGGCAGCTCCAGTTGCCTTTCTGTTTTGTCGTTTCTCTGATTGCATGCTGCTGTTGATTGGGCTAGTGGCTGTGTACGTGGCATTTAAGCTGGAGTACCAAATTGACCTCCTGAGTGCGGCGTGGAACGTGTACCTCAAACCCAATTACGATGAGGATCTTTGAGTTCCCCAATATGTTTCTTCTCCGGTGAGGAACTCCCAGCTTCGACTCTACACCTTTTGCGTGGGATGGAGGGGCCGTGCGTCCCTGTTTGCCACGGCGAGAGACGGAAAAAAAAGTCTCTGTCATGCGTTTTTCTTTTCTTTTTTCCCCTTCGCCACCATGGCTTCTTACCAATGATCTAGAGAGCAATCAACTCAAGCGTCACCGAGAAAGACCATGATGACACTGGTGCGATTTATCGCCCCACTGCTGTTGCTTCTGTGTGCCATTCCCTTGGCTAATGGAATGACGGAAAGCATTCAGTTGCCCTTTGTCCTGGCGTCGAAAATGAGTGGGGTGTGGAGTCTCGAGGTGCACACCCCCTGCGAGCCGTACATTGTGGCAGGCACTCTCAAATTCGTCAACGACACAGTGGCTGTGCAGTGGCTCCACAACGCGCCGCTGAGCCCGATACTGGATGTGGCGTCGTCCGAGGAGACGGTGGCGCTCGATGCCAGCGGGCTGCGCGCATTCTCGGGGGGGACACAAGAGCAGGCGCCCCTCTCCTACACACTGTGTGGGGCGCAGGCAAACACCATTGTCACCCCGGATCGCCCAAACTTTGAGAAGAAAATGGAGGAGACAGAGCTTACGGTGTACACTGGGTCCCTCGCGGCTTCGGGTGACGAGGAGAAAACGTGTCAATCGGGCACGTCGGACGTTCTCATTCGTACACTTGGAAGCGACATTCGGGGCTTCAAAAGTACACACTGGAAGGTGAAGGAGTCCCTTCAGTATGTTGAACTACATTTCGACTCGGGGAAGCTTACGAAGCATTGCGTAGCTGAGGGGGAGGGGACAGGGGCGAGACAGGAGTCAACGCAGACGGCTACAAAGGTTGGAAAGGGAAGAAGGCACCGTGGGGGCGCGTTTGCAGCATCGAGCGGTGCACTAGAAGGTACCAGGGATCAAAGCGCACGACAGGGGTCCATTATCATCCGACTTGCGCGACAAACGCCACCATCCAAATCGTTTTACGAGCGCTACTACCCGACGCTTCTCTTCGGAGGCATTATGATTGCGTATCGGGCTGTGTACGGCTTCACCTCCTATCGTGCACTTAAGGGGTAATGGAGCATTTTCTAAGAGACGTATATATATATATATATATATTTGTTATTCTCACGCCGGGCATGGCTTCTCGGTGTCCCCCTCACGCCTTCTCCGTGGAACAAACATTCTCTACTCTCGAGCTATTGCGCCACAGCTCTCCTTTTCTTCTATTTGCTTGGCTGTCGTGTAGTCGCCCGTGCCCCGGGCTGGAATTCCAGAAACAAAAGGATGCCATCCAAAGAAGCTGAAGAAAGCTGGGTGGTGTACATAATGGAACAGGGGTGGATCCCTATCCTCATCATGGGTGCGGCCATAGTTGCACTCAGACTCTACAACGCCCGGCAGCGGGTGGAGAATCAAAAACTGATGCGTGAAGCGGTCATGTCGGAGATGGCGTACAGAAACGCGTTGAGGAAACACCCCCACAGCGAATGAGGGCAGTGAATCTTCCGTGTGTATTGGGCGCGATACCTCCACCCCCCACGCACACACGCGCGCAAACACAGCGAACCAAGGCATTGGGGCAGACAGGAGGTATACTTCACAGGCGCATCGGGTGTGTTACTCCACTCTTCGCGAAGGGGAGCTCTCAGACACTCCCGCACTGCGTGAATCTTCAGAGTAACTGTGCTGCTATTCTAACACCGCATTCGTTTGTGTATTTTCATGTTTTGTTTTTCTTCTGCGATGACAAAAAAAAGAAGGAAAGTAAGGAGAGAGCGAAGGAGAGAATGTCGCTTGACGACTCTGACGCACAACATCTGGTTGTTCTTGGACTCTCTGCAAGCGGGGAGAAGGATGCCCTACAGGGCTTGCTGGCAGCGGCAAAGGGTTCGGCTCCGTCAACATTCGGCGGAGAGAACGACTGGGACGAAGTCGACGGCGACGCGGCACGTCTTCCGCCGCCCGAAACAACGGCTAATAAACCTGAGCAGAGCAGGAGGAACCGCAAAGCGATTGAACACAAAAAAGAAGACGGGGGTGATCTCAATGGGCGTGGGCGGCGCCCCACTGCTCCCCAAATGACACAGGCCAGTCGAGGCCGAGCAACTATATCATCATCGGCTGTATCAGTGGAAAAAGAAGTGCCAGCAAATATGCCGGTTTCTGTCGCTTTCCACGCGGACGATATGTGTGATTGTGCTGAGTCACTCCCGCCGCTGAAGGATCTTGTTCACACCAAGGTGATCCGGCCACTGACGGAGGCTCTCAATGTAACCTCATTGACCCGCATTCAAAAGTTGTGTTGGATGCCCATGATTGACAAGACGCGTGACGTCCTTATCCGCAGTGAAACAGGGAGTGGAAAGACCTTGGCGTACGCCCTCCCTTTGCTCCACCGGTTGCTGTGCGATTGTGATGCGCAACCCCTACAACGCCAGGTAGGGACCATCATCATCATACTATGCCCAACGCGTGAGTTGGTGGTCCAAGTTACCGATGTGCTTGGCGTTCTCACCCGATGTGCGCTGTTTTTGACAGTTGGTGGCATCCACGGCGGTGAGAACCGACACAAGGAGAAGGCAAGGCTGAGAAAGGGTATCCCTATCTTGGTTTCGACACCTGGAAGACTCCTTGACCACCTCAAGGCAACAACGTCTTTTCGCGTTGAGGAAACGCAGACCATCGTCTTGGACGAGGCGGATCGATTGCTGGATATGGGGTTTGAGCACACCCTCAGGGAAATTATGGAACTATTGTTGGCCAGGGTTGGGAATGCGGGGCACCAGGGCGCTGGACCGAAGGACTCGAGCCGTGGAAACCGCTGCCTCAAACGTGTCTTGGTGTCGGCGACAATAACTGAGGCTGTGGAACGGCTCTCGCATTTTGCTCTGCGAAGCAACGTTGTTCGCGTGGGTGAAACACAAGACACCTTTTCTATTCCTTCGTCGCTTCGCCAGCACTACACCCTGGTGCCAACGAAGCATCGACTCGCTACCCTCATCAGCTTTCTTCGCTCTCAATTAGATGCTGGTGCGAAAAGGATAATAGTCTTCGTTTCCACAGCGGACAGCGCGGAATTTCATTATTTCTTGTTGTCGAGACTAAAATCTCCTTTTGCTGGAGTGCGAAAGGGCGGACGAAACTACGGCCTTCCTCAGCAGCGCGCCCACCGATATAGTCTAAAAAAACGGACGGAAG